GAAGGATAGCACCAGCAAAGTAGGTCTGTTAACTCCCAAGGCCTTCATTTGGCAGTCTTCAGAAATGGAGACAATGTGAAAAGGAGTGGAAGGGGTTTGCAAATAAAGCCCATTCCCCATTTTATTGCTCATGGGTACCACCAGTGTGGTTAGAACAGGGAGACATGGCTCAGGTTCAGTCAGAAAACCTCCAACCCCAATTCTGACCCAGGGCTCCTCCTCTGCTGACTCACACCCTGGCCCAGCTCCCCTGAAACCACAGGCTCCCTGTACTGCTGTGCTGGATAAAGCACCACCATGGAGCCCTCTCTGCAGGAGGGACACCAATGCCACCAAGTCCCGGTCAGACTGACGGCACATGACAGCACCAAAAAGAGACACTCCATCCCTATGAAAGTCCTGGAGACATGGTTAAAAACAATTTTGGAGTCATTCTCTTGCAATAAGCCTCCCAACAGGAGTTTTTGGAAGGAATCCTCGTGTATTGTAAAACAACATCTGAAAGGCCGAGCTCAGGAATGAGTAAAAGAGGGGCATCGGAGGACCACGTTTAGTGGTGAACACAGTGGTGCTGGGTTAACCAGCTGGACTCAGAGGCCTTTTCCAACCTAAATGATTCTACAATAGACTTCAAGATCATTGAATTTGGTTTTTAGGATTTTTATACGATTCCATTTACACATATACCTACAAATGCACACATGTATGGTTTTAAATGCACAGCTTTCAAAACTTCTTAGCTTAATTTTATTTCCTTGTTTTATGCTAGTATTGTTCAGCCTCGAAACAGCAGCTCAGACTCTACAAGTCTCACATCCAGGAACTGTGCCCAAGGTAGGGTCCAAAATATAGACAATGCTCAGAAGACCAAAGACCTCCTCCACTGAGGAGTTTTGTCCCAAAACTCCAACACCCAGAGAGAAATGCCAGAGTCTACCAAGGCAGCTGATAATTACAAGATATCACTTCAAGCAAAGTTTTCCTAGTTCTCAAGTGTAAGCATGTATTTTGCAAAAACAGCATTCACCTTTGAAGGGGAAGGCCACACCACATTTGCATGCTTCAGAGAACCAACACCCCCTCTCAGAGTAAGCCTGGGATGTTTCCATGTGCAGAAACTTCTGCTCCCCTGAAGCATGGGAGAGCCTGAATTTCGGGAGCACAGCATGAGCCAGGTGCTACCCCCTGATACATATTCATACCTATCTCAAACATCAGTGGGAGCCTCATTTCTTTGTGTATGCACATACTCCTATCATTTACACAGGTAAACTGAAAGCAAATGTAAATCAAGTGCAAGTGACGAATCTGTTCCATACAGAGAGGCAACATTCACAGATGTCTTAAAAAGGCTAATGAATACACTAACAATAGCTGGATAAATTCTTGTTCATCATTGCATGATGGTTTGCATGTTCAAAAATTTAGACTGATATTCAAACTGCTAACATAGGGAACTACATGCATTAAACCTTTAATGTTCTTTGATTGTCCAGCTTCATCCTCCGAAGAAACAAATAATCACTTCAGAGTACAATCATGCTCCTCCGCATTAATTAGTAGAAGATGCAAACCAGAGAGAAATTTTGTCCGCATAAAAAAATTTGTTCTTTTCCTACACATATTTGCAAAAAACCACAGTGTGATATCTACAGTTTTGTCTGGTTAGTACAAACTTGTGTTTCTCTCTAATGCTGGTGAACTAGGCAGGTGCCAGCTTCAGAAACAAATTTTGAACAGGACTCATTCCCAACTTAGAAGTTTATGTTTTGTGAAGATTTAACACTCATACAGGTGGACTGCTACAGTTTCAGAAAGTACATTTCTGCCCCAGTTCTGCTCATGTCTTTCTACAGCACTCTGGCTTTATTTTGGGGCAGGTTGTTTATCCTACAAAGAATTCAGGGAAAACAATGCTCCAAATAAGACAACTCTGAAATAGCAGTGGGTTTGAACTTCTGGAAAATTGCTCAACCAGTTTTTATTCATCCAGCTTAAAACTGTATCATTGCAGAAACTTTGAAAGCCATATTTGGCAATGTTCTTCAAGAGCAGTTAAGACACAGGATTATTGTTATTTAGCTGGAGTGGAACGTTCTGTATGTATAAAACTTGTGTATATTGCAATGAGTAACTCAAGTGTGGCTGAAGAGTTTACAAGCACAAAAATCAACAAGTACAGCATTCAGCTCTTAAATACCACGCAAAAAAAAAAAAAACAAAAAAAAAAAAAAAAAAAAAAAAAAAAAAAAAAAAAAAAAACCCACCGGTTTTGGGCATTTTCTTAAAAAAAAAAAAAAAAAAAAAAAAAACCAAAAAAAAACAAAACCAAACAAACCAACATCCTAGGAGTCATTTAGAACCCAAGTGCATCTTCTTTATCTCCTCCAAAGATTGGGAAGATTGCAAAGCCATATCTAAGAACCATAAGCTGCAGGCTCATCTACAGCATTCAAGGCCACAACCTCATTTAAAGCCTTGAAGTCATGTATTTTTTTTTTAAATTATGCCTACTAGCAACCTTGGCTATGTTTACAGAGCTGCAACTGCAAAACTCCACTTAGCTCATCACCCAAATTGTGATCCTGCTTTAACAAGCAGGGTTTTTACTCGGGGCAGATCTGCCTCAAGCAGCGCCATGGAGGTGAGCGCTGGGCACGGCTGCCAGGATGCAGCTGGGAGCTCCTGTTTCACCACTGCAAACACAGCACACAAGAAGACAGAAAGCTAAAATCCCCAGCTGCACTGGAGGTAAAGGGTGCTGTGCATAGTGCAGCCTAACCTCTCTGCACCGGCTGGGCTGCCAGCATTTCTGAGAAGCCCTTATCTGTGAGTGGGGCTGTCAGAGCCCACCACCGCAGTGGTCTCGGGGTCCACACTCGTCTCCCAGCACAGCAGCCTCCCCTCCTGCAGGGACAGGCACAGATAGGCTCTGCAGCAGCCTGTGAGTCACACCCCAGGAATGTTTGGTGGATATCCCCACAGAGCCCGCTGACTGTGGCTGCTGCTCTCATTCCCAGCAATATGAAGATTCATGTTTCTCTCGTGAAATCAGCGATGACACACTGAAGTGCAGGTCTGGGCAGGGGCCAGGTTCATGATGAACATCTCCAGGTATTTCACGGAATATCTATACCCACACTCTTCACATGCAGACATTCTATAGCCATTTGCAAGTCAGTCATATGTGCATCATAGAAATGTCCATTAATTTCTGCAAATACTTACACCATGCCACTAAAAATAAATCTTCATTCTCAAGGGGCAGTAATACCATACTTTCAACACTGTGGAAGGTGTTGATTAGCTTCCTCCTTAGCAACATTGTAAAGCATTACACAGCCTATATATTTTATGTTCAAACCCATTTCCACGAGTCTTCTCACAAAATAAATATGAATCACTTTGCTTAGGAAGTTAACAGAACAAAGCCTTGCCTTTGCAATGTCACCATTTGAGAGAAGACTTAGCTTTCACATTTCACATAGGTCTTAAAACTGCTTTTTTGTGTTGCAAACACTTCCTCAAACTTACCAACACGGAAATTTGGACCTGGGGCTGTAAGTGTATGGTGAGGGGCATGTGGAATATTTCCTATAATTTGTTAGTCATCAGACACTTTCTCATTCCTTCCCTTTCCTGTCTGTTTTCATCACAAAGATGCTCCATGACATATGTTCAAGGACTTTTCCAAAGAACAAAAAGGGAGGAAGGAAGCACAGGTCAAAAAGGGAAATGAAGGGAAAAAGGAGAGGAGAAAAACAGAACATGCCAGGAACACAGTGCAAATAGCTGTGATGACACTCCTTTACTAAATAAAACTATAATAAGGACCCTTATGATCTTAAAAAACATTAACAATCACTGAGAGCTTATGAATAGTGAATAAAACCAGAGGACTCTCTATGTACTGAAGGGAACTTGGTGTTCTTCTCACTCATGCTTTTGAGAAGCTTCAGTCAATGATGCAAACCAGAAGAAAGAGACTTTCAACACTGCCTATCTACTGAGTCCATGAAAGAACACTTCAGTAGTAGTTTTAATTAAAAAGCCCTCCATATTTTGGTGTCTAGTTATACCCCAGTATGCCCCTCCTCTCTGTTCTACCTCTATACAGTCAAGTAGCTTCTTAAAAGTTACCCTTCTTGGGGCAATATTTAGCCATCACTTGGCAGTAAATGAATGAATTGCTCTTGGGACAAAGCTAGTAGAAATATTCTGTGATGGCCAGATGAAACAACTGACAGGAGCGTTTTGTACAGTTTTGTCAGCGAGATTTAGAGTGCTCAGTGGTGCACTCTACCAAAATATGTAGTGCATGCTCTGTGAAAAGATAATTTCCTGTCCTCTCCACAACCAAGCAGGCTATCTCCCTCAGTAACTACCACAGAGCAATTACCCACATTCTGCTTGTGAAAATGCACTACCAGGAAAGGACTTCAATCCATAAATAGAGCAGGATTGTCTTTTGCTGTTGTGGAGCAAGTGGAGCCAATGCCAGGTGACAGAGACAGATCCCCAGGCCTCCAAGCACCTTCAGAGAGCAGCTTAGGAACTGCTGCTGAAACACATTTGGCCCTGGTCTCTTACAGCATGCACAAAGCTGAGGAGCCTGCTGAATATGTTACAGTTCGTGCCTTGCAAACCTCTGTTTAATAAAGCAAGTTGTTCTTGAGAGTCTGTAATGAATGCAGCCTACTTCTGAAAATGTTTGCATCTTACACCTGTTTGGTGACGAGGTATAAAAAGGACAGACAGTCTGAGACAGACTGGAAAACAGGATGCTTTAAGCCTCACTCTTATATATTGTGAGTTTCCACAGAACTTCCAGAAGAAAAACACCTTAAAATTTGTCCAAAACAGTCAATAACCAGCTTCAGCATATTAAAGGAAGAGTTACTGAACAGACACACTGTATGCGATGGTAGAAACCTTGCTTCTGCAGAAAAACAAGATTAAAAATTCCCAAGCTATGAACTCCAAAACTGAATTCCATTTACCTTAGTGTTCATACAAGACTTTCCACGTTTATACTCTTTGTGACTTGCTCTCTTATCAAGCTTGTTCCACAAAGCTTTGGCTTTCCATGTGGTCACTCTCGATTTCAGTTTGGTGTAGAAGTTTCTATTGTCCAAAGGATCTAATTCAAGTTGGCGAGTGAGAATATTGAAGGCCTGAATGGTGCCTTTGCATGTTGATGCTTGGACAAAGTTTTCAAATATCCGGCCAGCTTGACTGTATTTTTCATCATCATTCTCCCCCATGTTCTGAGAGCAGAGCTTGAAAATGATTAAGCTGGAGCTCTTGTGCTGGGGTACAGGTGATCAACAATAGCAAGTACTTCCACACATGTTATTCCTAGAAAAGACAAACACAGGTCATTTTAAAGCAGGTTCTGCATGATAAAATTAAATCCACAAACTGCACGTACAATATGAATTAAAACCCCAGCATACGGTGACTAGACAAGCAGGCACAAAAGTTAGCAGTGATACCCAAGCGTTACAAACAAACATAAGATATTGTCCTGTCATGACTTGTACTCACAAAGAATGTTATAAAGCCCCTGCTAACTCAAGCCTACTGCTACAGGCAGAACCAGCTTCACTGAGAGCTTGAGGATTTAATTTTTTTTGTTTTGGTTGGTTTGTTTTGGTTTTTTCTTCAGTCCTAGATAATTGATGTACAAACCCCAAAAGTCCTGATTTTTTTTTCCCAAGCAGAATTTATGTAACAGCAAGTGACATTTTGATTTTTAGAATTTATGGAAACCTGCAGCCAAAAGTCAAAAAGAACATCATCACAAGTTACACCAGAACTAAAGGAACCAGAAAACAAGTAATCACAGAGAGCCCCCCCTTTTCCTAACACTCTTGCCAAAATGAGAAAGGGTTTGGTGCTCTAGCACATAGAAAGGAATTTTATCTCCACGTCTCCACATGTTCAATGCTGAAGTTATGTGTTTGGAGTCTTACCTTGTCATGTGCTGATGATATAAGTAATGATGTTTGGCCTGCTAAGCCCCACTGGCTTTTCCTAGTAACATGATTACTGTCAAACTGTGCCTGATATTCCAGATAAATACCATATTACATTCTGCAAGAGCAATGCTATTCTAAATTAACACAAGTTTCAAAGAACTAAAATACTTTCACTGCGGCACTCCCTTATCCTTCTTTAACCTTGTTCTTCATCTCTAATGGGAAGCATCTTAGAGTCAGCCAAGGTCCACAGAAAGTATCCAAGTGGCTTTCGCATTTTCCAAGAATATTGTTACAGGTTATGTTTAAACTTGTCCTCAGAAGAAGGTTTACCTGGACTCAAGTTCAGAAATGTAAGTCATGTATTCTTTTTCTTGCTATTAAAGAATTATCTGCCAGTCCAAGAAAGCAAAAACTAAATCAATGCTTGCCTAACTTCCCACATAATTAGTTATTTTACTTGGAACATCATCTGTTGGCTGATAGTTTCAGAATAAATTGTTAGAAAGGCCTTTGAAGTCATGCTTTGCCGTTTAACACTGTTCACAAACTATTCATTCTCTGCTTGCATTTCCTTCAAAGAAGAAAAAGAAAACATAACCAGCATATTTAAGTAAAGAAGAGACCCACCATGTCTATCTTACCATTTTCTAATACAGAAAAATATTATGCAACTTATTAAAGAGATCCCATTGGGAGATATAAGGAAGCATTTGGAATACTCACATTCCCTGTCTGTGCTCAAAATAAATAACCTTTGTATGCACATCATCATTTTGTTGTGGGTTTGTGGGTAAAATGAATTGGCAATGTTGATAGTTTGTACATTTTCTAAGACCAAATGTCATGATTAAACATTTGGTGCCAAGAAAAAGTCAGGAAATTTTTGTTTTCCCCTCTGAATACTTCATTTATAGCACGTTTCATGCCCTCTTCTACAGAGCTTTGTGAGGTAAAAGCACAAACGTTTTACGTGCCCTGCCTTTCAGAAGATCTAATTTTTCAAGCAGCTGAGTGCCATGAACTCCCACTGCCTCAGAAGGAGCTCAGGACATGGTGGAGTTTCCCAGGTTGGAGCCCTCGATGGTTGATGAGCAAAGTCCCCAGAGCTGCACGCCAGCAGGAGCAGCCTGCCTTTGCCAGCCCGGCATTCCCCTCACCGGGGCTGCCTTTGGGAACGCAGAGCTACACAACGGGTTTGGGTCGGCCCAAAAAGGACCAACAGATCCAAAAGTTCCACGGGAAAGGCAGGGAACAACCGTGCAACACAGCGCAAGGTGCTGCAGCGAGGCTTGAACAGCTTGGTGTGCACGCGCCTCAGGATTTGAGGCCCACTAAAAAGAAATACTTAAAATCAAGGCTAAACACTTACTTTACCCAACTTTTATACTTGCCTGAGATATTTCTCTAACAGAGAAGTGAAAGTATTAATTTTGCTTTTCTCTCAAAATAACTACGAGCGGCTTCTCGGGGAGCGGGGCAGCGCCTGTGAAACGCCGCGGAGCGAGCGAGCGGCAGCCGGACACGCTCTCCTCTGTCACCAGAAACTCACATTCTGCTGCCTCCTCACACCTACCAGAGACTTTGCTGACACCACAGCTATGAAACAGCGCTTCCTCTCCACTGTTTTGTTAGCTCACCCCAAGACGGTTGCGTTCATAACACACAAATATCTTTGAACGTTAACTCCTGGCATAACTGGTAAGCGAGTGTGATCACAAGCTCTTAGCTCAGTGCCTTTTTCTGCTCACACAGACTGGGGTTTTATGGCCTCAGCTGTTGCCGTCCAGCAGGGAAGTGGGGGAAGAGCAGAGCTAAGAGAGGAGAGCAGTATCTGAACCAACCCAAGAAGAAAAGCAAGCTTGAGGCAGTGCTGATAACAGCAGGGACAAGGCAGGACCCACTGCAGGCGACAGGAAGGGACAAAAACATTTTTAGCACGGAGTGGAGGTAGGTGTTGCACACACACAAGCCTGGCCTAGCCTTCCTCTGCCTTTCCACTGGGGAGGACAGGCAGGATACCTTCTCCAGCCATAAAACCGCCCTTGTCCAACACCACAAAGCTGAGACTGAGACTAATTTTTCTGGGCACAAAATCTTCTCCTCAGGAACTTCCAACACATTCCCTTCTTGCCCATACTGAAAAACTGAGGAGTGGCATCTCAGTAGACATTTGCTCACTAGTGAAGCATTTCTCCTTGCTGTGTCAGAGGTCATATTCTCAGAAAAAGTAACATTTTGTGGTCAAAAAAGCAGGATGAGACAGGAGACTCTGGTTACTAAGGTTTCTGGATTGCTGGAAACACTACTTATTTTCTCCATTTTTTTTTTTTTTTTTTTTTTTTTTTTTTTTTTTTGGCATGAACACTGTGCTGACAGATGACAGAGCTGAAGATGGTGCTCTAAGTATATACAGCTGATGGAAAAGTATGCATTTCTTTCTGAGGAGTCACTGATATTTCACTGCAGTATTGTGTATAACTCACTAGAAGCAATGCAATAAGGATAAGAAGTTCAACAGGGTCATTCTTGCCTATAATTAAAGTTTCCTGTTCTGTAACTGTCTCAAAGACTTAAGAAGCAATGCATTAACTGCTTACCTATAGGAGAAAAATTAACAGTGTTTGGCAAAGTACTTGAGTTCTTAGAGTGTTATAATTTATCCTTTTACTTTCTTCAACGTATAGATCACTCTAGGGATGAAATTCAGAGCCAAAAATCTCATCAAGGTGAGTATTGATGCTGAAACTGCAAACCATGCTTTTTAAAGTGACTTTTAAACTTCCTCTAGTAGCACAATCCAAAAATAAAATGCATTTTATTTTAAACTTCACTGAAGTGGTACAGAGCTAAATAAAAATTTGGGTCAGTGAAAGGAAAAGAACGAGAGAGCAGGAAATAGGCTGGACAAACAGTTCTTTTAAGTCAGAACTGAAGCATTTGTGGGTTAGACACAAGAACTGCCATTTTAGGTCCCCTGCATGATGTATTAAGCACACACAAGATCTTGGCCTTCCACACAGCTTCCCATGGCATTGCAGGAGTCTCTGGAGGACACAAAGTACACTGGGAAGTAGAAGAGTTCCATTCCAATGGTCTCTCCACTGTCAGAAGTTATCTCTGCATCCTTTCTGCCTGCAGCCAGGGCCAACAGGAATGTCAGATAAGGAAAGCTGAGAAGTGCTGCTCATGCCTGGTGGCTGCCCAAGAAGAAAGTGAAGATCTTGTTACAACTAAAAGGAAAGCAGTGCAAGGGAGGCAGAGAGAAAGCAGAAGTTAAAGCAATGGCACATGAACAGATGTATCCATAGGAAAGCTAATGTCTCCAGTCTTGGCTGATATTTCCTGTCAGCAAAACAAGCTCTGCTACTGCAGACGGTCTTGAGAATACTGAGAAAAGCAGCTCCACTGTCAGAGCAATTCCACTAAGTATCTCTAGTCAGATGGATGTATGGAGCTGGTTCACATCTGCACATGGAGTCTCTCAGCAGCAAGCTGAGCAAGCAGTAAAGCTGACATATATGAGTCATTACAGGAAAATAACATAACTTTCTGACAGCAGCACCATACAAATTGCTTGTCAGCAAGGTCTCAAGGTACTACCCGCAAAAATTAAAACCCTCTTTTGGCTTATGTGTCCCACTGGAACGAGAACAACCCTAATTTAAGTGCTTCAATTTTGAATTAAGTTCTTCCTTAGTCCCTTAATGCGCTGCTTCTAATACTTGAGAACATGTTCCTTGGGGAGATCGAAAAAGGATTCAATTCCTAGCATTCAATACCACTAATCCTGATTCCACTTTCAATACAACCCTAATTCTGCCATGTTTACCAAGAATAAATTCTTTTATTAAGACTCCAGTTTGGCATGCAGGATACAATACATTTATTGTTGGCTTAAGGTTAGAAACAAGAACAGAAACAAAAGACTGTGGCAATCATAGCAGTCATCTACTCTGGCCCTTCCTCATCATCAGTTAAAAGTACAATATTTCTGCCCTGATTGAACTGTCTAAGAGATCAATACCATCACAAAAAGTGAAGTTTGCAAGTCAAACTGACCATGTTACAGGACTTCTTGAGTTTTTCAGCTTAGTTTCTACTGTGGTGTACTTTGTTTTTGTGGAGACCATTTTAAATGTAAACATTTCTATCTGGAGGAAACACAGCTTTTTGGTGGTTTGGTTTCTTTGCTTGTTGTCCTAAAAATGACATAAAAGGAAAAAAGAATTCTGTGCAATTCTGGTAACAAGTGAAGCTCTCATTTGCTTTGCTTATAAAGCTAGTTAAAAGCACGTCGGCCTGAAATACTAGCCTTGTGCTGGCGACAAACAGACAACCCATTCCTTAAGATGCACAATCCTACCAGAAACATCA